TGGAATACAACTCAGCTATAAAAAGAATGAAGTAATGTCATTTGTAGCAACATGGTTGGACCTAGAGATTATTATACTTAGTGAAGAAAGTCAAAGACAAGTATCACATGATACCACTTATATTTGGAATCTTAAAAAATGATACAAATGAACTTATTTACAAAACAGAAACAGACTCACAGAAAACAAACTTACGGTTACCAAAGGGGAAAGGGGGTGGGGGAGGGATAGATTAGGTGTTTGTGATTAGCAGATACAAATTACTATATATAAAATAGATAAACAACAGGGTTCTATTGTATAGCACAGGGTGAAGCGCATATATTCAGTATTTTGTAATAACATATAATGGTAAAGAATATGAAAAATAATATATATGTATAACTGAATCACTATATTGTATACCAGAAACTACTACAATATTGCAAATCAACTATACTTCAATTAAAAAAAGAAAAGAGTTGCTGGACCCAGAGTGAGTTCAAATCCCAGCGCTGCCTCTTGCTAGCTTTGTGACTTTGAGAAGTTATGGTATCGCCTGGTGCCTCACTCTACTTATCTGTTAAAGGGGTGTAATCTTAGCACCTACTTCAGGGTTATAAATTAATATACATAAAACACTTAAATCATTGCCTGGTGCATAGTGAATGTTATGAATGTTATTTTCTTGGGAGGACAGGTTTTATTTGCATGGTCTATGCCTCCAAGTTTAAAAATGTGTCAGCAGAGGAAGGAATCTAGAGCCCAACAGTTAGGGGGAGAAAATGAACCCAAGGTAGAGTAGGGTCACTGACAGCCCGCTATGATCCTTCTAGAGCTGTATTTTCCAACATGCTAGCCTCTCGTCTATGTGGTATTTAGATTTAAATTTAAATTAATTAGCATTACATACAATTAAAAGTTCAGTTTCTTGGTCTCACTAACCATATTTCAAGGGCACAATTACCACCTGTGCCTTGTGGCTTCCATATTAGACGGTGCAAAATAAAACATGTCCATCATCACAGAATATTCCTTTGGGTAGTTCTGGCTTAGAGCTATAATGACCAGCTGAAGACATGCTGAAATGATTCAGCCTCCATTTATCAGAATGACAGTTTTGGGCAGTTAGTGCTAAGCACCTTAGATGCATTATCTCAGTTAATTCTCCCAATGATCCTATGAAGCAGGGGCTCTGACAATCCTTATTCTATGAGTGGGGAGAATCAAGCACAAAGAGCAGGTCATTGCCCAAGGTCATGCAGCTGGAGAACGGTGGAGCTGGTCAGATCCTGCTCTGGGAGTCTAAGTCCACAGCCTGCATTCTGAGCTGTTGCAATTACTCCCTCTTTCCATGTAACATGTACAGTATGGGCTGGGAACAGAGATGCAGTGTTAGGACCCAGGGCAGCTTTGGCACCGAGGCTGGTGTCTTAGGGGAGGATGAAGAGGATCTATTCTGAAGTGATGACTTTGGAAGCTCATGCAGAAAACACGAAGCTGACAATAGGTTTGGGGCTGGAAGTTAAATGCACAATTACAGTATCTGCCTTTTTGAAGCAATAATGAATAGCCACTGGAATACTTTCAAGCAAATGTTCTCATCAGAGCTTTTCATGCATTGAATGGTCAACTTTGCTCCTAAGGGCTTTTATGCCTAAGTCCAAGGCAAGTGTATAAAGAGATATTTATTAAAGAGCTGTTGGGTCCAGACCCTATGATGAGCCATGGAGGTACAATCATGATTATGCTTACCCTGCCTTCATGGAGACTCAACCTTCGATAACAGCTAAAACTTACTGAGATATGCATTAAATGCACATTTTATTTAATCCTTACATCAGTTCTTTTCAATAGGCACATCATCATGAACCCTATATCACATTTTTAAAAAATTGAAGTATAGTCAGTTTACAATGTTGTGTCAATTTCTGGTGTACAGCATAATGTTTCAGTCATACATATATTCCTTTTCATTTTCTTATATCACATTAAAATTTTTTACTAGTATTATTTTTTAATGGAGGTACTGGGAATTGAACCCAGGACCTGGTTCATGCTAAGCACATCCTCTGTCACTGAGCTATACCCTCCCCCCCATCACATTTAGAGAAACAGATGCTTAGAGAGGATAAGTCAATTTCCCAAGGCCACACAGCTTCTAACCACTGTCCACATGCCCAAGAATAAGAGGTGACATCCCAAGAAGTGAGCTCAGGGTTTCTGACGGTACCTGTCTCTGGGCTGTGATCCAGAGGGGAAGAACACCATTGTCCCACCACTCAGTCTTGTTCTGTGGTCTTGTAGGAGTACTTCTTGAATGTCTCTGTGTTAAACATCATGTTGTGAATGACTCCGTGATCTTCAATCCAACGACCTTGTGGATAAAGAAGAAGGTGTTGATAAGTTCCATGAATGGATGCTGCTGGAGAGTCCATGGGTCTTAAGATCACCTTCCCCAACACCCTCCAGGTTGCCTCACTTAATCCAGGGGCTGTCTCTCTAGGCTTCAGACTTGTTTTCTTGGGGTCCAACGTTAGCCACAAAGCAAGGGTTCATCACATCTCACACTTGCCAGATTGGATCTGTTTCCTCAAACAGACCTCACAGCCCTGGGGTAAGTTGCTGTTGGCTGCTGAAGCTGATGAGGAAGGTAGGTGCAGGGAGACCAAGTTCCTTTGGGTTATTCTGTGTCCGGAAGCTAAGAGCCTGGGATTTGGACACTTCTTGTTCTTGTGGGATGATTTTCCTCATCTGCTTGTGATGATCTGATTCTATATCAAGTGTCCAGTGGGCCTAATTCTTGGCAAACATCCCAGGGTTCTTCCTAGGACTCCCATGGGCTGCACTGAGGGAACCAGTGGAATCAGGAAGGATATCTAGATGTAGATGGGTGTAGACTTACTTCTCTCTACATAAGAGAGGAAGGCAGATACTGGGGAATGTGAGTAAGCTAGATTGTTATTGAAAACATAGGAATTGAACCAAATATGGGGGGAAAAACCCACTGTGAGACGGCTGGTAGGTAAAGTCCTCCAAGGGGGGCCAAGGCTTTGAATGAGAAAGAAGCAAAAACAGTTGTTGCTTTTTTGTTTCAGCCTTGTAGGCAGGCCTGACAGCCAACCACGTGTGGGGTTGTCAGAAAGAAGTTGTACTGCTATCAGGGACTGGGGCCTCGGGGTGTTAAGATTCCTGGTCAGGGATCACATCAGATGGTTGACAGGGGAAGAGCAGGGACTTTGAATCTATGAGAGCTGAGTGCCAACCCTCACTTGGCTTCTGAACTTGCTTGTGAACTTGAACAAGCCTTGGTTGGCATGTATAACAGGGGGTGGGGGTCTGTGTGATGGAATCACAGCATGTGTTTCCCATCACACCACATGCCAATGTCTTTTTCTGAGTACCTGGAAACATTTATTCACCTAAAGCTCCCAACAGCCCTGCAAGGTGGGAACTATGATAGCTCCTTCTTAGAGCTTTCCCCCTTTGCAGGAAACTGAGACAGAGTTTGCTCAGGGTCATACAGCAGAGCTGGTATGGAACCTGGGAAGTTTGATTACAGCCCATGCTCCTGCCCGGCATCCCCCATCCCAGTAAAATTAACATAAAATTAACCATTATCATTTTAAAGTGAATAATTCTGTGACATTTAGTACATTCACAATTGTGCCACCACCACCTATTTCCAGTTCTGAAATATTTTCATCCTCCCAAAAGGAGACTCTGTCCATTAGCTGTCACTTCCTTGCCCCCTGACAGTCATTCATCTGCTTTCTGTCTCTATGGATTCACCTCTTCCAGACATTTCATGGAAATGGACTCATGCAATATGTGACCTTTTGTTTCTGGCTTCTGTCACTGAGCATTATGTTTCCCAGCTTCATCTATGCCGTAGCATGAATCTGTACTTCATTCCTTTTTATGGCTGAATAATATTCCATTGTGTGGATAGACCAGGATTTGTTTATCCATCCATCAGTTGATGGACATTTGGGTTATTTCCCTTTTTTGGCTGCTGTGAATAATGCTGCTGTGAACACTCATGTGCAAGCATCTGTTTTGAGTCCCTGCTTTCCGTTCTCTTGGGTATATACCTAGGAGTAGAATTGCTGGATCATATGGTAATTCTGTGTTTAACTTTTTGAGGAACTACCAAACTATGTTCCATAATGGCTGCATCATTTACCTTCCCACCAGCAATGTTCAAGGGTTCCAATTTCCCCACATCCTCGCCAACACTTGCTATTTTCCCTTTTTTGATTATGGCCAACCTAGTGAGCGTGAAGTATCTCATTGTGGTTTTGACTTGCATTTCCTGAATGCCTGAAGATGTTGAGCATTGCAGCCTATGCGTACCCTGAATGAGAGTACTCTGTTAGGGGTAGGCAGAGCCCAAATGGGCAAGAATCTTTGGAGCCTCACAAATGAATAATGGAAGGCTTCTGAAATCTATAAGGAACCCTCTTGTTACAGCTTCCTGGTGACTGAGCCATACCATCACAGCAGATGAAATGGAAGAACAGAGATAATTTACCCAGGGAGCAGCTTGCCTTTACTGCCCGCACCCCTCTCTTTAAGCCTGTAACATCCTGGATCCTGTTCTGTGTGACTTTCTCCACCCAGTAAAGAGCAAATCACCCTGGAATTATGAACACCTGCCATTTCACCTGTTCTAGTGTTTCTCCACGGTGTTTTCTACCATCAACATTGGAATCAATTGAGTTGCTTATTAAAAACACAGATTCCTGGGTCCTCACTCTAGCCATTGCTGAAACCACAGTTGTAGGGTGGGGTCCAGGAGTCTGCATTTTAACAACCTCTCCCTGTGGTTTTAGTGCCCACTAAAATGTCAGAACCCCCGATTCAGGGGCTGTTAGTCATTCACATGTGCGTGTGGATTAATTCTAGCAGATTGCCCCTTAGGGACCAGGGGAAGGGCAGACAGCTGTCAAAACCTGGATCACTCCAGTATCTGGGGAAACCTCGGGATCTAGAGCCACTGGGAGGATGTGGGAGGAGGAATTGGAGGAAGCCATGGACACAGAAACTTCTTCCTCCTGCACCCTATGGATTCTGGCTTCCATGCCCTGGGACCCAGAGATCATTTATAACACTAGTTAAGTAGACTAGCCTGGGAGCCAATCATAGAATCCATTTCCCCCCAAAGCAGTATTACCCAAGTTTCAAACAACTAACCTAAAATGAGTTTGGGGAGCATGACCCTTCCATTGGCACATGCAACATCCCAGTAATTGTACAAAGGGAACCATCTCCCTGGTGTTTGGGTTATTTCCACCCTGACAAAGTCATTTTCTAAATCCAATCAGTGCCCGGGGATCACTCATGACCCAGCAGAGGTTTTCAGTGCCCAGTTGGTTCCTCCCTCCTGCTGCTGAAGCCTCTTTATGCCTGTCAAGGGCCAGTTTTGGAACATGGGCAAAACAAGACAGAAGAGAAGAAGCCAAGAAACATGCAGGGAGCAGCCAGCTCAGTTGTCCTTAAGTTGCATTTTCTACTCTGGAGACAGTCGGGGACCTGGCTGGAAAAACCACATGAAGGCGACACTGTTGGCTGTGCCTGGAATTCCAGAGACTGCAAAGGATCTGGTTTCACTTGGGTCACACAGTGCTGCAGAAGGGGGGCTGGACTCGGAGGCAGGACCCCTGGTCTTGGCTCTTGTAAGCCCTTGCTCTCTCTTTGTGCCTCAGTTTCCCCACCTACAGACCGAGCAGGGTTAATGATTTCCAAGGGCCTTTCTGACTCTGTCATTCTGGGAGTCTTCTCTGCTGTCATTTCAGTCTGGCAAAGACATGGATAATTATGCAAGTGAAACAGGAAGTAGGATGAGCTCTTCTAGTGAATGGGACTCCTGCTGCTTGCTAATTATGCTTTAATCGGGGTACAGTGCATACTCCCACACTGTCTGTTAAGGCGAGGTGCAGGTAATTCATCCAGCAGAGCATTTCAGGTCTGGGAACAAACCTAGCTAGATTCAGCTCCTTCCTTTGGTTCTCAGGGACGGATGTTTATTTCTCAAATACTTGCAGAGTGAATTTAGGAAACCAGGAAGTCCAAAGTTTGATCCAACCCCTTCCTTTCTCCCTCCCTTTCTCAAACATTTTGAGACAAGTACTATCATAGATTACCTTGTGGTATTTACATTCTAGCTGGGGGCGGGGGGAGACAGAGAGTTAAAAATAGAGCATATTCTGGGGTGCCTGCAGTGCTCACAGGTACCTTTTCTTGGAATTTCCCTACACAGAGACCCTGCTGGAAGGCAAGGCTAGGCACCATATTTATACTACGTCCCCTCCCTGTATTCAGTTGGTTGGTGGGAAACCCAATTCTTTCTCAAGACTTGAACCAAGATATGTAGTAACTAATCAGCTGGTGGTGGGCTCTGCTGTCTCCTGTGATGATCCAGGGGCAAAAAGAGAAAGGTGGTTGGAAGTGAGAGAAGCAGAGGTAAGCAAATCCATGGGGCTTCTGAGAACCAGAAGGAAGTTTGGCTTCTATAACTGCAGTTTCTATTCCCTAATTCCCTCTAATTTTGTTCCCATGCTCATGAGTTTGCCTGTTAGAGCCTCACCTTGCGGTCCTTTCCCTTGAGCTAGCAAGAATGGATTTCTGTTTCTTACAACCCTTGTTCCCACAGCAGGCTGTGGCTGAGAGTAGTAGGGATGCCCCTCATTTATTTTGGTGTCTCCCTGGCATAAAGCATTGAGCTTTGCCCTTAGCAGGCATTCAACACATGTTTGTTGGATTTAATTGAACTCCCTCCCACCCTCTGCCCGCTTTGTACATGGCCAGGTATGAACTGAACCAGTAGGAAGCAGATCTTGATTTGGTCCAAAGTCAATCTGGGAAAAAATACTGTAGTGGGGTTAACATAAACCTATAAATAATAATTAAATAAACCTATGAAATAAACCTTTAGTGAAATTAAAATGCATAACAGGGGGCTTGGAAGGGTATAGATCAGTAGTAGAACACATGCTTAGCATGCATGAGGTCGTGGGTTCAATCCCCAGTACCTCCATCAAAAAAAAAATGCATTACTCAATACACTCAATAAGAGCTCTCCCTCTCCCCAAACATTTGCTCAGTTCCTACTTACTCTTCTCAGGTGGGACAGTAACTATTTGCCAATAGTCCATTTGGGCATATACACACTTTCATGCATTCATTTATTTAACAATAATTTAAGAACCTCCTATGTGCCATTCACTTATTCCTTTGAACTAACCTAACATATTAAGCTGTAAACATATCCTCATTTTCCTCTTGATTTGTGGGGTCCAGAGCTTCATTAAGTTCACGTTCCCAAAACTGAAGAAGAGAGGTCTTACGAACCAGCTAGGATGAAATCAGTGGGGA